CTCTTCGTCCTCACCTCGCACAACAAGCTCGGCGACACAGGCAAGCCCACTGGCTGGTACTTGCCAGAGCTCGCCCACCCCTACCACGTCCTACGCAACAAAGCCAACATCACCGTTGCATCCCCCAAGGGCGGTGAGGCTCCCCTCGACCCTGCATCCGTTGAAGCCGCGAAAGACGATGTATCCGTCAACTTCCTCAAGAACGACGAGCAGGTCTGGAAGAACACCCAGAAGCTGAGCGACTTCAAGGGAAAGGCAAAGGAGTTTGATGCCATCTTCTACGTTGGTGGTCATGGACCTATGTTCGATCTTGTCGACGACGCGACGTCACAACAACTTATCAGGGAGTTTTGGGAGGCGGACAAGATCGTGTCGGCCGTATGCCATGCACCCGCTGTCTTCTACGACGCTAAGCTGAGCGACGGAAGTCTGCTTGTTGCTGGAAAGGAGGTTACCGCATTCACAAACGCTGAGGAGGAGCAAGTGGGCTTGACCAAGGCTGTACCATTCTTGCCTGAGGATGCGCTGCAGAAGGCGAGCGGAGGCAAGTTTGTCAAGGCAGCGGAGCCCTGGGGCGAGAAGGTCGCCGTTTCTGGCCGATTGATCACCGGACAAAACCCGACGAGTGCGACAGCGGTCGGAGAGGCAATCGCAAAGGCATTGGGCATTTAAGGATATCAACAAGAAAATAACGCATAATAAATACAGCTTAAGCTTCATTATGAGATACAAGACGTAATTTTTCGTGAGACATGAACACTTTTCGTTTGCAATAGGCATTATATACATTCATCGAGCATGATTCCTAGGATTTCCACCCCAAATTCAACCTCCCTACACTAGCTGCTTTATACGTACTTGGTCACGATATCGGTTACGGTCTCGTAAATGGTGGCTGGTGGACAGGCAGCAGCAACGGCTGAGTACTCTGGTGCCTTAGTGGTAGCGGGAGCGTGCGACTCTTCAACCGGCAGGTAGGTAGTCTCGTAAGGCTTGTCGGCGGTCATGACAGTGCTTGAAACAGTCATTGTAAAGTTGTTGTACGGAGCGGTTGCGTTGTAGTGCTTGTGAGGGATGGTGACAGGGACGTATGATGAGATCATAGTAGATGGCTTGACCGCGCCTTTGGTGACAGTGACCGGTACCTCCATGGTGCTTGTTTCAGTTGATGTGACCACAGTCGTAGAGTCCTCGGGGATAGCTGTGGATGAGGGAGCTGGAGCGACCGAGCTGGAGGGCACAGCAGACGATGAAGCTTTGACCAGGAGAGGTGTGAGCTTGCTCACAACCCAGCTTGACGCCTCCTCGGTGTAAAGCTCGAAGTAGTTCAAATGCTGGGCAATAACATCTCCATTAGCGCAGACTGGGTCGCCAGCAGCGCAGTATGACCTCAAGACAGCGGAGTAGCGGTTCAGGCGCTCAAGGTTGGCACCGGTACGGGGCCAAGCCTGCTTGTCTGCTCCATCAAGAACGTTGTAAGGCTGGTTCGCAGTGTGCTTAACATCGCCCCAGAGAAGAGCTGCCTTGACAGCCTGGCCAGCCTGTGAGGTAGGGTCGAGTCCGAGAGTTTGTGAGTCGACGTTGCATGCATCCTCGCCTCCACCACTCAAAAGAGCTCCGGAAACCATAGCACCTTGCGAGTAACCATTGATTACAATCAATGTGTCCGGGCACTGGGCGTTATACTCGGTAATTTGCCTAATGCCGTTGACGGCACCTTCTTGGATTGTAGGGCAAAACTCCACACCGAGGGTAGCATCGAAGACGATATCCATATAATCGCAGGAGTTGCCCTGGGCCTGGAATTTGCCGCAAGTGGCATCGATGAAAGGCGAAGTACGGCCATCGTGGTATGGAGCGTCATTGCCGCGAGCCATGAAAATTGCTACATCATTACAGGCGGCAGCGACCTTTGGAGGTGTAGTGCCTTGAGCAAAGGTGGCTAATGGGAGAGCTGCAAGAACAGCAGTGGCAAGACTTTGCTTCATGGTGGTCGTTGAGGGCATGTTGAGATTCGTGAATAAGGCGTTGACTGTTCGTTGCTCCGAAACGTCGATGGCGTGGTGTATGAGAAAACGATAGATGGAATAGCCGGTATCGTGAGGATATTAAGTATTATAAGAACGGTATAGCATTAACTATATCCCTCTGATCTTAGCAGTGAAGTGAGTGTTGATGGCCGAGCGAACGAACAAGTGCTACACAGATGGCAGAGCGTAACGAAAAAAAAGAAGTCAAAAGGCAAGCAAGAACACGCGACAAGATAAGTCAAACTGCCAGTGGAGCCCCCCGTATTCAGAAGCTCTTTCCGATCCTGTCTGAACATGTCTGTGGGTGAAGAACCACAATCGTGCAGAGACGCATGCTTGCAAGCGCATGCTCTTTTGACAAACCGTTCGAACGCTCTGCAGCCCTAGCGACTGGGACTATTGTATATCCACAGATCTCGTGTTTATTCTAGGTTAGCAGTGTACCACTAGTACGGGAGAGGCAATACATCTTGCTTGCTATGACTCGTGCGGCATAGTTAGCATTACAACCACCGGCACTATCTCGTATCAGGCGAGAAGGATAGGATAAGGCTACCAGACTGATGATACCATATGTGTTGCAGACACCATTCCGTGTGGATAGCAATCAAGTTTCGAAAGTCGCATGTCATTCATGCCCCTCTCTTACGGAATAAATGTTGTTGGGGACATGAAAATTTGCGTAGCCCAATGTTGAGAAACTACGTTGTGTTAGCTTTTTGCAGTGGTCAGACCACTGTTCGCAGTGCATGTACTCAGAAGGGTCCAACCCATACTACGGTGATCTGAGGCCCTGGCCTTTCCTCAGTCGCGCGCTATCGTGCTCCTGAACCAGGAATCGCTTTTACGTCTCCGTCCTGTCCCTGAACCGCAAAATTGGGTAGATCAACCCCAGGTTATTCGATCGACGACAGGTAACGATGTCCACAGACATCGGACTGCGCACTCTTCTGGATCTTTGGTATGTGCAGCAATGGCCGTGTTCACAGAATCGCTGTCTTGAGTCGGCGAGTTGTGAACAACGAAGAGTACATTCGTTTTTGCTCGGCGTCGGACCGGCCTGGCAACATGGTTTCCGAAGCCACAGAACTTGTTGACCATGCTTACTGTGGGCTGCAGCACATGTGGCAGAGGTGGAGAACGCAAAAGTATTTTGGGACGCTTGAGCCTTCGTTGTGGATCGAGATTTTCTAGAACTCTGCGATGGAAGTGACTCGTGAATTGTCTAGCGCCCGGTATCTCAGGCGATCTCATGCTTTACCGAACGATGACGAGATATGACAGGGATGAAGTTATGTAGTGTTGCGCGATCTGCATAGTCGATTCGCCGTCGATGTGGCGGTGTTGCGGGTTTATAAAGATTGTGCGACGTCACGTTGGTACTAAGGCTGATTGTACAAGCTGCTCGGGAACCTCGGTTGCTACTAGTGCCTGTGAGCACCATCACTGAAGAAGACACATGTTGAGTCGACAACAGTAACGACAGTGTTGACGATTAGCTAGTACTACCACCAAAGATTGCATTCCGCATAGCTGTCGCCGGTGGGTACTTCACAAGCTTACCGTCGGCCCAACCAGATGACACGGCTCAGCAGGCGACTTCTAAAGTTGATGGGACTATGTTCCAACACACCAGTTGATTTCCTATTATTACAGTGAAATAACTCATGAGTCGTGATCATGTTGTTCTTTCAGAATGTCGTGTCTCGCTTCAAATCATACTGAACAGCATCGCGAGCAAGCAAATCATACGAGCAAATGACCCAGACATAGCAACCGCAGCAGCACCCGTCGTCGGAGTGGCACTGGTAGAAGACTCAGCCCCATTGGTCAACGTTTCAGAGGTAGATCCAGAGGCGGAAGTAGAATCAGGTGAGGCACTCGCGGTGCTGTCCTCGCTAGACACAGTCGATGAAGACGGCGCAACATCAACTACAAAAACATCAGCACGTCATCTTTCCGGACCACGCAAGCTCATGCCATACGTACCGTCTCCAATGTCTCTGATCAGCGTAAATGGCTCCTGCCCCAGACTTGTCGCCCAACAACCCAGGTAGCTCACACCCCCACTAGCACCAACGGTCGGCACCACGACTGCAGTGTTACAATATCCCTGGTCACAGAATAAACTTGTCTGTGGTGAGAAGAGAGTTGCGGCACTACAAGATGACCAGAAGATGCAGTCCGAACTGCCGGGTGCGCAACATTGGGCGTACGATCCAGAGGTCGAGTAGGTGGCTGGATAATCGCAAGAGCGGAGATCAGACCCTACGTTGAAGCGCAATTAGCGGCAATGTGCTGATAGAGGCGAAGCATGGTGTAGTATGGATGTTGGATTAGTGGCGCGGCTTACATTGTCCATTTGTCGCGTCCACCCAGCCAAGCAGCGCAGGATCATCTCCGGATGATGTCTGCCGGGGTGCAAGTTCAGCCCGTGGGGTGATGAGTGGATCTGGCACGGCAGTAACCGTTACAGTAATGGAACTGATAGCCATTGCGACGATTGACTTCATCCTGGATGCTTGCTGGATTGCTGATTTTCCGACAAAGTGACAAGAAGCGTGTCGCTTGTGGAGCCGAGGACACTGCGCCGTGCGAGAGGAAAGCGCGTTAGATTTAACGATTGGGACCTGCGTTATGCCGCGGTACATTAAAGCAACCCGATGATGATTAGCCAATTGAATGATGTGTGGCGTTCAGGAAGCGAGATGAAGATGCCTACAATGGGACAAGCAAGTGATAAGAATAAGTAAGACAAACCAGACGAAACAATGGCGTCTCTATTGCTGAATACGGAAGGCTGAAGACTATCGAAAAGACCGGAACAATATACAGATACAGGAGAATGATCTAGCAGGATGTTTTCGAACCCAGTGAAAACGAGCGGCCAGTGTTGCGGGAGTGGAAAATTAAGGCATGCCGCCGACCTGTACGAGTAGCACAGAGCGTCATCTCCGGACATCCTCCCCATCAATCTTGTTTCTCCGTTACAACAGGTACGTCTTGATGACTATCGGATCCACTCGCAGCACCCGATGCTGTTGATCCAGGAGTCCTAGGCCCATATCCGGTCAAGACCATCATGTCTTCGTCCGCATCACTAAAATATTTGTAGTCGAGTCCCCTCAGCTCGTCGTCCTCGGTCGCGCGAATATGACAACCAGGAATTTTGTTGATAATGAACAGCAAGATAGCCGAAATGACGAATGACCATGCTGCGCATGTAGTCGCAGCAGCCAGCTGGTATCCCATTTGTTTCCAGTTCCGAGCCCACCAGCCACCCTCGTAGAAATTGCTTACGCCGTCCATGGCGGGTACGTAGGGCGCAGCGAAGAAACCGGTCATGATGTCGCCGATGTAGCCGCCAACACCATGTATGGCGAAGATGTCTAGACCCTCATCAATGCCGAGGAGGTACTTGTATCGGACTGTGAAGAAGGATCCGCAAGCAGTGAGAGCACCGATCAGCGCCGATGTCTGGACAGGAACAAATCCGCAGGCCGGCGTGATACCGACAAGGCCGGAGATGATGCCTGAGCAAAAGCCGATAATCGAGAACTTGCGGGTGAATATATACTCCAGTAAGACCCATGCCATACCGCCGCCACAGGCTGCGAGGTTGGTATTGCAGACGATGTAAACAGAACGAATGGTGATATTAGCACCAGAGGCACCTACAGATAGTCAGTTTGTCTCTTCAAAATCTAAACATACACTCGCTACTGACCATTGAACGCAAACCATCCGAACCAGATCAATATCGTGCCGAGCCCAACAAGAAAAGGGCTGTGAGGCTTGAAGTGCGGAATCCTGGGATGATGCGACTCCTTGTGCGGATCGACACGCTTGCCCAGCATCAACGCCCATGCTAAAGCAGAAAATCCAGACGCAATATGCACAGGACCAGAACCCGCAAAATCGAGGACTCCAAGTTTGTAAAGCCAACCACTAGGATTCCATTCCGCATATGCGAGCACGTAGTACACGAAAGTGGTCCAGCAGAGCAAGAATATCATCGACGGCCCTAGACGCCCTCGCTCAAGCATCGCTCCTGCCAAGATCATTGCGGTGCAGGTGACAAACGTGAAACCAAAGGCGGCATAAAGGATGTCTGGGATATCCGCATTCGCGAGCGAAGGTGAGCCAAGAGTGTTGTGTAAACCTGCTTTGGACAAATCTCCTATGAAAGGACCCGTGGTATGTGACTGGTAGAGGGAGTAACCGTACACCCAGAATTGGATGCCTACCGCGCATGCGCAGAAAAGGGATTGAAAGATCATAGTAAGCGCTGCTTTCCGGCGGTGCATTCCTGCGTAAAGGAAACCGATCGCAGGTGTGATTTGCCTACTCACAATTAGTATTTTCTAGTAGATGTGAAAAGTAAGTAGCGTACCAACATAGTACTGTGCTAACCAGCATCCAACACAGGTCGCCCTTGTCGTAGAGCGCGTTGAGGTCAGTGGTCATAACATTTCCACCGTTAGGGTCGACAGCATAATCCGGCCATTCAGTGATTGGGGTTGGTGCTGGCACATCCGCCATGTTAGCAGCAGGTTGCTTACGCTCGACTGAGCAAAATACTAAAATCTGTGTACCTGGAGCAATTTGCAGAACCAAACCCCCGGGGAATTATCATGTTTATATCTAGGCCTTCCTTTTCCACCCGTATCTCTGTCGCACGAGCGTACCATGTCTTTCCCAGGATATCATGATATGCAGCGCGTCGTATGCATCCAATCAGCACTCCACTAGCGGAACCGTAGTCCTGGGAAGGAAGGAATGTCTTTGACTGGCATAGTTAGAGGCACCTAACGTTTCTTATCGTTCCACTTCCCCAGGACACTAGGAGGAGGAGTGGATACAGCCAAGAAGGCGGAAGGCGGAAGCCATGTGTATCGCTTGGCAAAAGATAACGGGACGTGGGGTACTTCGCATGTGGGACCCATCCGCAGCTCCCTCGGTCGCAAATACTCACCACATCAATGAAGACTCTTTGAAACAAGGTCCCAGCACTTGCGCATACCCGTGGACAACGTCTCCTTGTCCATGGATCCACTGTCTACCCATTTGCGGGCGGGCGGGCCCTTGCATATAAGCTCGATATGGTCGACGTTATCGGCGTCAATCCTGTACTGATAGGCATGCATGGTAAGCTTCAAATGGGTGAAGACATGGACCAATGGCGGAAAACTCGCAACATAACGCGCTTTGCTCATATCAGTTGTGCCGGCGTCGAGACCTGAGATATACTGCTGCGCCAATGTTTTGCGCTGCTGGGGCGTCTTTTGTGATGCAGTCAGCGGGCTCTGCGGGAATTGCCTGTGCCACAGTCAGCGAACGCCCCCTGCACTACCAAGATAAGAGAACCCGAGGATTGGGCCTATCATGAAACATGACACGAAGCTGCACGGTAATGTGCGTTGGGAAGTACCCGAGAAGCTACCCGGTAATGTCTCCATGATAGCATGTGTTTATTACGTACCAAAGTGATGCGAGAAGACCTTCACAGATTCGTCAGCAGTGCTTTAGCATGGTGGTGCACAACGTACCTTTGGCGGGCCTTTGCTCTATTAACCATTTATTGCTGCCATCTGCTGAGCGCAACTCTACCATGCACACTACACAATCTTCTTCGGCGGACTTCTTCTTCGCCACCTTTTTCGGGAAGAGCGAGCAGTATGTCGGGATCGATTTTGACTCCCTGGTAGGTAGCGATAGCTTCCGCTTCTTCAAATCCTCAGCAGGTGGACTGCCACGATCCTCTTCATTGTCTTCGGTGTCCACATTTGACTTGGGTGTGCCAACAGCAAAGTACTGTGAGATTTTGTTGCTTTGTTTTGCAGTCACTTTTCTTTTCTTGGTCGCTTGCGGCAGCTCATCATCTGCTGCATCTTCAGCAACTGCAACCAAATCCTCGGTGTCCAGAGACGCGCAGAGAGAACATGCATCCTCGATGTCAGGTACTACAGCCGGTGATTGAAGCTTGTCAGATAACGCCTTGCCTTCGCTATAGGCCCTGCATGTCGCCTGAATGGGACACTCATCGCACTTGGGTCGCGGCGTACAGACAGTGGAACCCAGCTCCATGAGCGCTTGATTCCATAACCCTGGTACGGCACTTGTGCGCGTTTCCGGAAAGTTAGAGGCATGTTTGATGAGTTGATCCGCCATATCCCACATTACGTCGGTAGCTTTCTTGTCCTTGACGTCCATGTACAAGCCCAGCTGTCGACTAAGCACGCGCATCACATTACCATCGAGGACGGGTTCTGCCTCGCCAAATGCGATACTCGACACTGCGCCCGCAGTGTATCGTCCAATGCCAGGGAATTCTTGTAGCTCTGTGGCACCACTCGGAAGAGCACAAGAAGCACCGGCAGATTTGGCGATCATGGCTTTCGCACCTTCATGAAGGCGTGTGGCACGTGAGTAGTAACCAAGCCCCTTCCACACAGAGAGGACGTCGTCATGGTCTGCCTCGGCAAGATCCTGAACCGTAGGCCATTTTGCGATCCAATTATTGAAGTAGGGAATGACTGTCGAAACGCGAGTTTGTTGGAGCACTGAAATCAAGTCAGTCGAAATCCTACCCAATCCGAAGCTGGCTAGACGTGTGGAATAGTGATGAGAAAGAGCCGGCAACAGTCCCCGAAAGAACACGTGACAGCGCGTTTACGCGTTCTTGATGGCCCAATGTTTGCAACCACCCACATTTAAAACGCGTACTTACTAACTTCAGACACCCAAACCTCATACGCCCTCTTTGATAAGACGCGTCCAAGTTCTTCTTCGTCTTCATACTCGTCCGGGTCAATCCACTTCTTCCTCCATGGCATGCTACGTGTCTCCGCGACGCCACTAAACCAACTCAACAGCGCCTCGCATCCAGACTGGCCGCTGAGAAGTAGGGGATAGTGGTATGACGTATCGTGCACGCGTGATGGCGGTAGCGCTGCTACCAGAGAAGTTGACGGGGCAGTGATGCTAGTTTGGCTATTTTTCGCAGTCTTGCTGGACTTGGCTGCTATAGTGGTCTTTTTGCGTGGAGCCATAGCGCGTCGAATGTGCGTAAAGATGGTATTTGTGTCAACCAAGAAATCTGAAAACAATTGATGTCGTTGGCTGTAGTGTGTCTGGTTGGATCCAAGGGGAAAGGATCAGTGGAGGTGCGATCGCGCTAAGCATTGCTAGTGTCGCGATCGAACTCGCAGCTCCTTATCCAGAATAAGGAGAATCACCGTAAAACGCCGGTTCACGATGTTGTCTATTGAAGAAAGCGAATAGTTAAACGACGATGTGTACATGCAGGCGGAGAAGTGTTGGTCGTACATGTCAAACCTTGACATTCAAGAAACTGAGCTGATTCTGTTTTTAGAGTTGAATAACCCCATTGAACCAACGTTGGGCATCGCGCGCAGCTAGGATACGTTCCCAGTTTATGACAAGCGCAAAAAGTGAACGCGATCAGTGAGTGATATTTGGTTCTACCACAATGCCATGCCGTCCAGCCAGCGCCGAAGAAAATGCGGTCCGAGAAAGCGATTGAAGCTATCTACTCCATTCACAAACGGCAGATGGTGCCATATAAACCTAGTTAAACATCCATAATATCCAATCCAAATCAATATGGGGTATAGGAACAAAGAACAGTAACAACGACGAACGTACGTGCTCGCTAAATCCAGAAGCCTTTCGAAAATATGCCCACAGGGTCTAACCCAGGTGTATGTGTAATGCTCGTCTCAGAAAGACGCTATGCCGTCGGTCTAATAGAAGGATGAATGTAAATCGCTAAGCGCGCGAGGGTTGTTCATGTTGCAACCAGATATCGCCACCTTCACCCTTCTCCCACTTCTTCCATGCTATCTCATAAGCGTCTTCTAGGTCTCTGACCCATCGTTTGGTGTCGAAAAGTGGACTTGTCCATCGTGATTCGTAAAGCATACGGCGAAGCTCACTCAGGCGGCCCTGGGCTCGGTGCCCATTGTAGGTGCAATTACGCGCAAGGCGAACAGCCATGGCTTCGTATTCATCGTCGTTGATGGCAATGAGTTCTTTTGCCGCTTGCGCACCCGCTGGCGTCTTCGGTAGCGCACCCTTAAGAATCGAGGCTGCCATACGGGAGCACATTTTGTATTTATAGCGGGATAACGTAAGCAGCGGTGTTCCAGACCAAAGAACGTCGGCAGCAGTCGTGTGTGCATTGCACTCTGGTGTGTCGAGGAAGAGATCACACACACGGGCCCTGGAGATATGCTGATGTTTCTGCGCGACGTCGGTGAACATGATGCGACTTGCCACCTCTGCACCTGCCCAGAGAAGAGCTGTCTGTTTGAGGTTCGTTTCGCCAAGGTCGGGGAATCGCAAGAGCCACAGGACTGCATTAGGTATCTTTTCGAGAATGCGCAACCAGGTACGGAACGTAGTAGGCTCAATCTAACGGTAAATGTTAGAATACGACTGACCTGCTAGTTATGGCATGAATAAACTTACTTTGTACAGCTGATTGAAGTTTGCAAGAATGATCGCATTGTCCGAGAGGTTCGGAAAGATTTCTTTGCGCATGGCCCATCGTCGTTGCTGCTCTTCCTCCCAGTTGGGCTGTCGTCCTTGTGAATCCGGAGCACTCTGTCGATGGTCACAACAGAAAAAGGTATCTCGGCAGAAGACAATGTTCTCTCCATAGATCCATTCCTCATCACTTCCACCACTGTTGTCATCTACGAGGGCATCTTCGAGATCGACGTTACGGCGCCACTGTCGGAGGGTATCCGGAGGTACAGCAGTGTCATCGGCGAGTAGATAGTCGCACCACTCGGCGCCTAGAGTGCCTGCAAAACCCATGAAAGCCATCTGGATGGGCGCAGGACGGGCAGCAAAAACTTCATTTCGTGCGCCTCTAGTGTAACCATTCAGGTTCACAAGGACATGTATACCGTCGTGAGTTATCTGATGGACAAGTCGTTCCGCTGACCAACTGCTGGCATCATAGAACACCGGCGATTCTCTTTCAATCTGTTTGCGATGCTCCGATCCATCACTCGCTGTAGTAGCGTAACAGTATGCCCTTACTCTGCTTGGATTGTGAAGACCAAATACCGACTGCATTAGGTGGGCTAATGGGTGATTGTTGAAATCTGACGATACGTAGCCAACCTTCAGATATGGTTGTGGTGGCGCAGGAGGCTGGTAGACGGTTGGCGGCAGCCAAGGGACCCTTAACGTCGAGGTCGAGATGCGTAGTCCGTTGCGTTGCGAGATGAGACGAATCTGTTTAGCTGACATAGGGCACGTAAATGTGTGGAAAGGAAGGACGGTAGGTGCTGCGGGTACCGTTAGAGCTGCTGGTAGTTGGGGCCTCTTGTAAGACATCGGCGGTCGCTGCGTTCCAGTAATATAGCGGTCCTGGTACCATTGCCAAGTCATCCATCGTATAGCACGCTCGACAAGTCGCACGATGCGAGCGCCTTCCCACTTTTGTCCTTTCCACTTATGCAAGACAGATACCATGCTGGTTTCCTTCTCTTTTACATCTTGGACGCTCCCTGTGAGGGACAATGGACGAACAACATCATGAATGAACTGTTCATTCATCATGCCTCGACCCCAATCTTCACCATCGGCAAGTTGCTTCTCGACCAATCTAACAACCTTATGAATCCAACCGGAGCTTGATGCACCAGGGATCCTTGCGTCCAGAAGCATGCCGCTATCATTCACGTGCCAACGATCTCTCGAGCCACCATCTTCAGCAATGCCACCTCTACCAGCCCAGTTACAGACAGAGTTGAGGGCGTTGGCAAGCCCACAAACAGCTTCAGCGAAGTCAGGACTGGATTTAACGGCTTTCTTGTAGTAATAGATAGCATCGGCGATCCGACCTTTGTCTTTAACAGCGTTGGCCAGATTGGCAAGAGCGATGTCGAAGTTAGAATCGCACTTCACGGCGTGTTCGTACATGTTTATGGCGTAATCTAGCTGCCCAATATCTTTCAAGAGGCTTCCGAGGTTCGTGTAGAGGTGTGCATGGGACTGGTCCAGTTGGAGTCCGTAATAATAGTAGGCAAGCGCAAGAGCTACTCCACTGCCGGGGACGAGTCCAGGAATTTGAGGATGTGCGAACGCATGCGACATTGGACTGGCCTTGGAAGGCGCGGACTGCTGTACGCTAGCGAGGAGTATGCCTACGTTGTTGGCTGTCGACGGACTAGGCTGTAATGAGAGCGATAGGTAGTAAAGTGCTAGGATTTCTCGCACACCGTAATTGCTTTGGTACACGGTAGTCTTGGGTGAATTAGTTGCCATACCGTCTTGGAAGATCTTCGCTAATGACAGCAAAGAGTTGCTTGTGGTCGATATAGCTGCTTTTCTAGAAAGTCCTTCACTAGGAACGTGCTTGAGACCAGGCAGTTGGCCGTGCGGCTGGAAACAAAGCTGAGCCGTCCTAGTAGCCGCATCTGGCGGTAACAGGATCGGATCAGACGATGGAGACATACGACGGCCTCCTGGAGAGCGTTCCGACACATCGTACCCAACAACAGCAAGAATGCGCCTAATGAGGCCATCGATGCCGTTAGGATGGGGTCCAGCTCCAATGAGCACTGCGTTCTCAAAAGCTCTGGCAGCACCGGCATTGTCACCAAGAGCGTAAAGCATATTGCCCTTGGCATGTACCAGAGCTAGAACACGACCGTTGTCGCTACCAGCAACAGCATATCCGCTTGAACCGAAGCCCGGCTGGTCTGAGCCAGGAAGCTCATCCAGATCCTTGAAGATGGCCTCGTCCTCTCCTTCAAACTCAAAGATGGGCCGATCTGATGTTTCCGAGACGCTCGACTCGCTCAATTCGGAAGCAGCCCGTTCGTTTTCGGCTTCGAGGCTCTTCAAAGCGTCAGCTCTTTTGGCGAATCTCAGTTGGCGTTCGACTTCTTCAATGACCTGAACCGCTTCACGACCTTTATGGTCGCTGCAAAGTAAGCCAATCAGGTGTTCAACTGCCTCAAAGTAACTGGGTCGAAGTTTGACTGCGCGTCTCCAGTAGTCTTCTGCTTCGCGCTTCTGTTGGAGAGCAAGCATAGTGGCCGCAAGATTCGATATTGCTTCAACATGACTAAGTCGTGTTAGTGTGTTTCGGGTTCAGAACGTAGTGTACTCACTCTTTATCCAACGTAAGGATATGTTTGTACCAATCCTGGGCTTTTTGGTAGTCACCTAGTGCATATGCTAGACAACCGCCCAGAAGAATGCCGTCTATCCAGCTCCATTTACTTTCTTCGCAATGCTTGGTGATCGCTTCGAGTGCTGAGGCAGCCGTCATGCTCGGAGGCAAACCCTGGCGGAGGTTTTGATGAGCACTGGCAACAGAGCCGGAAGTTCGCCGTAGGGTACGTGGTGGCTCCATGCCTGGCATTGGGGGGAGCATGGGGTGTTGTGGCGCCATGCCTTGCCAAGATTGACCATTGGGATCTGCACTGCCTATTGACCACGCAGACAGAGAGCGCGAATGCGGCATTGCAGGTCTCCTGGATGCAAACTCTGTTCTGGATTGGGAAGCATATTGGGTAGGAACAGGATACGAGACACGTCGCTCTAGAGACGGCATGCTACCAGTAGCAGAACTCGAACGGCTGAGTCCAGGTTGTCGTGGTGGCTTCGGATAGATGTGGGGTCTGTGATTGACGCGACCATGGGAATTTTGTGAATTTGATTTGCGTGTTGATTGCAGGTACCTGAGTAGGTCGACATACACTGCGTGAGCCCAAGCGAATACTTTCTCTCTGCTTTGGCCATTTGGTGACTGCAGCCCGTACTCGTCGTTCGGTATAGCCGGGGTGAACTCTTGGACTGGCGTTGTCTGGCCAGAGTTCAGATAGTCCTGGGCACGTTGTGTAAGCGGAGGAGGAAGCGACTGATTCTGGTAGTCTAGCGCGACATGATTTTGAGGCTGTCCATAGGGTGGGAAGTCTACTGACGGCCTCCCTGCATGATTGTACGCGGATTGGCCATAATCTAGGTGAATGGGGTTTTGCTGATAGTGAGTATAGTTGGGCAT